CCTGTCTTTCTCTGAAGGAGTGGCTGGTGGTTTTGAACTGCTGACTTTATGGTTAGCAGCCCAGCGCATAACCACTACACTGCCAGGGCTCTGTCAGGAGACAGCATTAGAATAAAGCAGACTTGTGGCAACTTGCATGGCGGGATTTCCAAGAAACATCCTTAAGTGGAAAGGCTGGGGACAGAGCTCTAGGTGAAATATTTTTCCAAATTTTAAAGTTGAATCAGATATGTGATGTGTGTGTACACTAAGGTGCATCACGCACACACACGCACACACACACACACACACAGAAAGTACTCTATTAAAGAAACAGGTAGGGAACCATCAAGCAAAGATTTCTGTGGAAGGGCCAACCATACCTACTAGTCAGTCCTGACTTGTGGAAAAACTTTAACTTAAAGCCAGGCGGAGTCATTCTGAATTCAGAGACTGCCGGGAGGCAGCAGTGAGCCTCTCTGTGGTGCGGGGTGATCAGTCATTGCCATTTTCACATCTGCCCTGGGGTGGTAAGTGGGCCGAATTCATCGCTCCTGGCAAAGACCCTGGAGGCCAACCTTGCGGGCGGGCAGGCGGGGGACAGGCACTTCACCTGATCTGTCGTTGGCATTCCAGGACAGGACATGAGCCCGCCCAACTGCTCTTTTGCGGAGGTGAACACGCTGGTGGGCATCCTGCAGATGGCGGTGCACATCCCCACTTTCATCCTGGGCCTGGTCCTCAACCTGCTGGCCATCCGGGGCTTCAGCACCTTCCTGAAGCGGAGATGGCTGGAGTACGCGTCCACCTCCATCTACATGATCAACCTGGCCGTCTTTGACCTGCTGCTCGTGCTCTCCCTGCCCTTCAAGATGCTGCTGTCCCGAGACACAATTTCCCTGCCCTCCCTCTGCACCATGGCCGAGAGCTTCTACTTCATCAGCATGTACGGGAGCGTCTTCACCATCTCCTTCATCAGTCTGGATCGCTACTTGGCCATGCAGTACCCATTCCTGGTCAGCTCCCTCCGCTCCCCCAGGAAGATCCTCATGACCTGTGGGGTCATTTGGCTGCTGGTATGGGCGGGGAGTATCCCTGTCTACAGCTTCCATGGGAAGATGGAAGGGTTCAAGTGCTTCAACAACTTGTCTGACAGCACCTGGAGCGCCGACATCGTCTTCCCCCTGGAGGTGTTTGGCTTCCTCCTGCCCCTGGGCATCATTGGTTTCTGTTCTTCCAAGAGCATCCACATTCTCCTTGGCCGCCAGGGCCACACCCAGGACTGGGTCCAGCAGAGAGCCTGTATCTGCACCATCGCAGTCAGTCTGGCCGTCTTTGTCATCTCCTTCCTGCCGGTGCACTTGGGGATCTTCCTGCAGTTCCTGGTGAGAAACGGTTTCATCCTGGAGTGCAGAGCCAAGCAGAACATCAGCCTGTTCTTGAAACTGTCCCTGTGTTTGTCCAACTTCAACTGTTGCCTGGACGTTTTCTGCTACTACTTTGTCATCAAAGAGTTCCGCGTGGGTATCGTAGCCCACCGACCTTCCCGGTCCCAGGACACCACGGTCACCAGGGCCTGAGGGATGTGAGGCCCTGCTCAGAGGAGGAAAACTCTCTAGTCTACCCAGGCGTTTGATGTGGCAGGCTGGCACATGGAGTGCCAATCGCTAGTCTGCTTCCCCCTCGTGATGTTGGATGAGCCCCTCTTTGCTTATTGTACCCAGAGGCCTTTCCCCCAGACCCAGACAGCTTGACGTGGATCACCTGGTGTTGGCGGGGCTTTCTCAAGAACCGGAGAACCAGACACGTTCTGGGTGGCTAGGTCCAACAGATGTAGCACCGAAGGGAAGAGAGCGAGATGTCCAAGTGAGCAAGGCTGCTTTCCACCTCTACCCTGTTCTTCTGTCCTCCTGGAACATTCTGTTGAGGAAGAGAGAGGAAAGAGAGAGGGGTGTGGGGGAGAGACAGAGGGAGGGAGAGCGAGATATGGAGACAGAATCCAGAGAGTTAGCCACAGTGGAAAGCGTCTTGGGGTGCCCTGTAAGGTGCTTTGGTAACTGGCCAGCGGGGTGGAGGGACTGCGGAAGACTACCTGCAGTCAAGGTCTGTAGTAGGTGTGACCAGCTTTCTAAGGTGTCTAACTGGACTTCGTTGTTAGGGCAACAGTCGGAAAGAGCCAGGTTTGATGTGGTTCAGCCACAGAAGAATAAAGGTGGGTCCATGCGGTTAGCCCCGAGAGCCGGACCGGGAGGGAGAAAAGCACTCAACCAGGGACTGGGGGGCGGGGCGGGGGGGGGGGACCTTGTCCCTCAGGCACAAAGGCCTGGCCTTGAGAGAGAGGTTCTTGGCTGGAAACTGGAAACAATTGGAACCTGGCTGGGATGTGGCATTGAGCCTAGAAGGGAGGCAGCGCAGCCAGAGCCCAAGGCCTTCAGACGAAGCAGCTGTCCCAAAGGGGCAAGGGATTGTGAGCTGGGCACACTTTGGCTGGGCAGAGGGAACAGCTGGGCCTCGTGCGGACAGAGCTCTTCAGCTCCGTTTGAGGCCAAGTGGTGGACAAGGGCTCGTAGGGGGCCACTTAGATAAAACCCAGGGCCTGCTGGTGGGGCGGGGGGATGGGTGGGCAAGCCACCGCCAGGCCTGCAGCTCTTGGACAGGCAGGAAGAAGCGAGGGCAGTATTGCTTCCTGCCTGAGAACCTCATTTCCCCAACCAGATTGAGAGCCGTTTTAGGGCAGCCACCCCCCCCCTTCCTGCTGTCCCCAGCCCCCAACTCCCAGGTCCGATGTGCTCCAGAAGTTGGGGAGGTGGCTTGAATGAAGGGGGAGGAAGAGTGGCTCAGTGAAAGGGGTGAGTCGAGAGGCTCTGGCCTGAGAGGGACCCCCAGGAACTGGAAGGAGGCCCAGCTGCCCCTCACCCTGGACCCCCTCTCCTCCCTGCC